GGAGGTGACTCCAGTAAGAGAATTCAGACCCAGTGAGATAAATGTGGTGATTTCACTGCATGCAGCTGTGTTGGCTTTTTCTGCCCCTTTGCTAAACAAACAGCCTTACTGAGTTCCCTACTAGGAGTCTGATCTTCGTGGAAGGCAACGGGTTGCAACTAGGTAGGAACTTCTCAGAACAGAGCAAGAAAGAAAGGTTTCTTCACTGATGTAACCTCTCAACTGACAAACTGAATGTTTTTTAATTGTTTACCTACTCTGCTATCTTGCATATTCAGTGAGTAGTTCTATAAAAACAAAAAATATTTACTTTTTTTGCACATGTAAAATCTTTTTCTTTTTGATTTTGGGGCCTAATTATTATGTTTGAGTTTACAAGCCCCGAGAAGTCTACTCTTCACTACATTTGTCATTCTTAGTTCAGCTCCAAAAGATAGATTGATATTAAATACTTTTAAATGTTTCTAGTGATACTAGTTCAGCATCATAAAGCACAGCTCTCAGAGTGAACAGTTTGCAAATAATCCTTTGGCTGAAAACTGAAAAACTCTATGGTAAATACTGAAAATGAATAGGAAAAATAAACTAAAAATAAATCCCCTTCTTAAGATTTCAAATCTAATCTCTCATTAATCCCACTTGATACTCTGAGAGGTGCTAGAACAAATGATAGTCTGTGTCAGTTTAAAATACTATTCCTTATTTAAACACAACAAATAAAATATTCATTTCCACTCTCTCCTTGGGATTTCTGAATGCCAAATCATAAAGACTTTTTTGCAGCCACAGAAAAGGAAGCTTTCAAACTACATAAAATGAGTATGTTTAGTAAGTCTTTAGCTCTCCCGGTCCTGCTTCTATTAAGTAATTGGTGCTCCTGAATTCCTCCACTAGCCATAACATTCCTGACACTGCTATTCTATGAACTCTTCACTTGCTCGAATTGCAGGCAGAACAAATAATTCAGCTACTGATTAATTTGGTTTGCTCTTACTTGGAAAAGCAAGAGTTCCTGGACATTTTAGCAATTTCTTTCCTTGGGGAAAATGCCCAGTCTATGAACAGGAAATGAAGATGATGGCCTGCCATGCTGGAAACAGTGCCTTTGTCCCAGCACTATTGGTTTTAAACTGATCTTGCCGTAATGGAGACATACAGTTACATAAATATCTCCATAAAGTATATGGTCTTCCAGGCTTGGCTGCGTTGGCTGAAGCAAAGACTACTCACATGCACATGGCACAACGTAAGGGAGCCAAGTAAACAATCTTTTGGCACAACTCATTTATTTTTCTCTTACTGTTCTTTGTGTCGAGTCAATATCAGCTCATGGGCTGAGGAGCGTGAACGACAACACTCCTGTGACACTGTACTTTGTGATACAGTATAAAGAAATACGTGAAGTACAGACTTAATTGTGGACATAGGTCCAGATAGGTAAAAAATTCTCGAAGTGCTTCTGTAGACTTCTGAATTAAGCCTCTGCTGGCATACCACTAAGAGTTAAATTACATCTCCTTCGTTTAATATCATGAAACATATTGAATACTGTTAACTGATAAATTCAATTAAATCTGGTGGTCTAGTGGTTAGGGTGCAGCACTTTCACCGCTGTGACCCGGGTTCGATTCCCAGCCCCCTGGGCAGATGGAGCTCGTCAGCCTTGTAAGGCCATCCATCTAAGAGAAGGTCACTCTAAACAAACCTACATCCTGAGACCCTCACTGCCACTGTCCAAGCTTGCTCGGCCCTGGCAGATGAACCTCAGGATTAAAGGGTGGGCTCAGTTCAGCGCACGCTGGGTCTCACCTAAAAAAAAAAATCCACTGCGCAGGCTCGAAGGGTTAATGACCTTTCCCAAATCTTCACTCGCAAAGACTGGCCATACTATTGGAATAAAATAGCATAATTTCCCAAGATGTAATGAATTATTGATGTCTTTATAATGAAATATGCACACTAAAAACCCTAGTTAACTGTCAAGTTGAAAGAACAAAAAGTCAGGCAATGCATATTTTCAAAATAAATTGGAATTGAGATCATTCTAACCTTTAGTTACTCTATACATGTGTTTATAGTTATGTTTTCACATGTTCTAAGCCTGTAGAGCCTCATCATTCATACGTTTTCAACATCAATCAGAATACCAACAATAGAATGCTGTATTTTTATGGTTAATATGTAGCATTGTCGTATTCTAGAAAATGGAAGGATATAATCTTTGTTCTTCAAACCCAAACTACTTGAAGTAGGCAAATCAGGCTGTCTGGAGTGTGTTTGATTCCCCCCCCTCCCCATCCTTACTTTGAGGGGGGATAAATATTCAAGTATATTCTAACTTCTTTTTCTATTGTAGGAACAGCAGTGTTCAACCATATATTGAATGTGTAATTATTTATATGGAGTTATTTTAGTTTTGATTCTCTGATGTAATAGAATATTTCACTGGGAAGGAGCTATAATGACCATCAAGTTCAACTGTCTGACCACTGCAGGGCTGACGAAAAGTGTTTTCTGTGGGTTTGATTCTGAGAAGACTCAGGAAAATATAAGAGCATGTAACAGGTATGTTACCTGCTAATCACTTCATTCTAGGTCTGACTAGTAAACGAATTTCAGAAACAAAAAGTAAAAATTTCTTGCGAGTCCAAACAGAATACTGCTAGTAAACAGAGATGTCTGATATTGTGGTAATGATGTAGTAACTTTGATGGAATCAATAATTTAAGACAATCAAATGTTCTAAAACATCTTATTGCTCTCTGCCCCTGCTCTCCCCCTACCCCACCGCATTGTAAGAGTATGTTGAATAAAGGAAATTCAATGTACTTAATATCAGAAAAAGTAATTGATGCTAGAGCCAGCTTAAGTCCGATAATCTGAATAAAAGAGAGAAAAGTGCTAAAAAATAATATACTATATGCAAGCCTTTTTCCTTAAATGACTTTTTTAAATGAGGAAAAATCTCTTTCCTCAGCCTTTAAACCATCTAAAGGCTATCAGTAAAGCTGCATTTGGGGTGAAAAGGGCAGAAAAGATGGAAAGTATATTTCTGGTGCTGAGTCTTAGTTACAACCTGATTGATGATATTTCATGCTGTGTGCTATAGCAATACGAGATATAGCAACCACTGCCACTGTTGGACTGTTTGCGACAGCATTTGTAGCTACCTTTGTGACTACAGGTTTGTAGTATTTTGTGAAGTTACTCTGTAATGGCTCCTGCTTTTATTCAGAAAACAAACAAGGAAAAAAAAAACAAAACAAAACAAAAAAACCCAAAACAAACAAACAAAAAACCCCAACAGAACAAAGAAAAAAAATGGGGTTCAGGACTTGATCAAAACCAGGAAAGGATTGACAACCTTAAAGACGACTTCTAGCCAGGATCTCTCTCAGTACAGTACATCAGGGGTCAATGATGTTATTCTGGATCCTGGATTTATTAAAGATGGGGAATATAAAGTGAAACAACTGGAAAACTAATCTGTAGTTCTTTTGGCTCATAAAACAATCCTGAGAAGGAACAAAGATGCCAGTTATAGTAGAGCAGAACTATCCCATGTCCTTGTTGTAGTTACCCTGTACGTATGTCAATGAGTACGGCTCCCAGCCTAAACCCGTTTGGGCCCATGGGCAGTGTATGCAACTAAACATCTTCTGTGTGACTGGCTTTGTCTGGCCAATCAACATTTTGCACTGCTGGATGAGACACGGTCTGCAAGTCCTGTTTGGGAACGTGCGAGTGGTGTGTTATTTCCTCCCAGCCACCTCTAGTTGGCACTCGTGTCGGCGCTTTGGGACACAGGCTGTCCCCGGCTTGCGCTACAGGGGCTTTGGGGTTTTGTTCGAGTGACTATGTACTTCGTAATGTGTATCGCCACATTGCTACGCACCAGTAGTAAACCTTCGACCCTCTTTGAAAGCCACTTCAAAACAATCAGGTCAACAAGACGCCCTAAGCTGCCGAGCATAACATCAGTTGTAATTGCACGGTTATCTTGCACTTCACATTTGAGATCTTCCCAGTGTTTTACACTTTAAAAAAAAAAAATTGCGCAAGTTTAATTCTTCTCCAGGTGAACTAACCATTTTTACAGTCAGTCCCCATTACTCATTAAGGCTGTTATTATAATGTTTAATGCAAATGTTAAGGTCATTAACATTTCTCAGCTGGCAAGGTACAATTATCTAGGATGCTCTTTGGTGACTTCCTTCTCCCTCAGCTCTCCAGAATCTGCTAATGGATGTAAATGTACACATCTGTGCTCACTTTTGTACTGATGATGCACATGTTCATTTTGCATAATTTTCCTTTCAGCTGGAGCCTTGAAATTGTACTGGGGTTAGAAGTTAATGCCTCCATAAAGACATTTCCATATGCAAATTGCTCTCTGAAATCTTTAAAGGCAGAAATAAGATTAATATTAATATACTAGTTATATTATTAGGCTTGTAATACTAATACAGCTTAACAGCTTAGAAACAATTTGATTCATAGACATTGTATTCTGTATCAGTCAGGACTAGTAAAGTTAATAGGGGGATATTTGCTGATCCGTGAAATTCATCAGGGTGGGTCCAACAAAAGACCTGAGGTGCCTGTTAATTTGTATTAGAAGTGGGTGCACAAAATCACCAGTTACAAACAAATAGTGCTGTATTTAAGCACGCCCGTTGAATGACCCCGGAGCAGAAGGATTTGTTTGCATTATATTTTTTTATTTGCACATTGATATTTTTCTGCCCGTCTCCGGGAGGAGACGGCAAAGTCCGTTGACGTTGAATCGTATTTAAAACGGGGCCCTGAGGATAACCGAAGGGATCGACTGAGGGAACACCCGCCCGTGCCGGCTCTCGGCCGCCACCTGTGTGAGGGCCGGGCCGGGGGGCGGGGGCGGCACCGGGGGGGGCGGCCCGGCCAATGCGACGCCGCGGCCCCGGGGAGCGTCCAATGGCGGCGGCCGCGCTGCCCCGCGGGGCGGGCCGGGTCGGGCCGGGCCGGGGCTGCGCCGCCGCCGCCGAGCGCGCTGTGGGAGCACCGCGCCTGCCGGTAGGTGCGCGGGGACCGGGGGGAGCTGCGACCCCGGGGCCGCCCGTCCGGCCCCGCGGGGAGGGGGAGACGCGACTTGTACGGTGCCTTCTGACAGCAGGGGCAGGGGCAGGGGCAGGGGCAGTGCGGCTCGGGGCTGGCGGGCAGCGCCGGCGGAGGGGCCAGCGGGGGACGTCAGAAACGGGAGCCGATGAGACCTAAAGCGAAGGCAGGTGGCTCGCTTCCGCTGGCGGAGCTGGGGCCGCTGCTGCCTCCCCCTCGGTCCCACGGTGGCGGAGCGGGGCCGCCCTCGGCTGTGCACCCTGAGGGAACCGTGGATCTCCAAGGCATCCCAGCCCCTTCCCCGGCCGGGGCTCGTGGCGCCGCTTCCAGCCGCGACCGTCGGGACCGAGTTTCAACCTGTTCCCCTCGGTGCTCACACCGTCCCTCCCTCAGGGCAGGTCACCGCGCAGGCTGTCGGTGCCGCGCAGCCTTGCAGCCCCCGGCGAGGGCTCCTCTCGGCGATGGGCGGCTGTGCCGGTGCGAGCGGGTCGCTGCTCCTCGGCCGCGGGAGGGTTAACGATCATTAGCTGCAGCCTGGGGAAGCTGCTTGTATCCACCTACCCCTCAGCTGCTCTGTGTAATTACTCATGTTTTGGATTTTTCTTTGCTTGGGTCTACTAAATTGTACTAGATCGTGCTGCTATTGAAATGTTTTTCCTGCGGTTAAGATATTGCAAGGCAGAGAAAAATCGCTCGCTCATTTTTCTGCTGTCGCGTTTGAATACACTATGTAAATGAGCCGCTGAAAAAGCTCAAATTACATATTTCCACGCAAAGTGAGTTTTTGTGTTGATGTGGGACCAGACAGCCCCTTCCCTCCACTTTTGTGTAATTCATGTGTTAAATATTTTTTTCTCTACTGCAGCTCCACTTTTTTCTGTTGGTTTTTGTTAATTATTTTGTTGATTAATTGGTTGTAATCAGAATCAACTTCTCTGATTTTTTTTTCCCCGTGGGTTACTCCTTTCTGAGACTTCAGCCTGTCAAAGAGAAAAAAGTTAAAAAAAATGCCCTACTACTTAACTAGATGAGGCAATGCTTTGCAGCTCATGTCTTCTCATACTTTAGTTGTACCTTTTGCTGGGAAATATCCTTAGGATAACTTCATAGTATTGGTTTTAGGGCACTTTTAGAATTGTCGAGGCAAAAAAATTGGCAAGCATTGGCATTTTTTTACTTGTGAATTGGCAATGAATCATTCTTGTCTTCTGTGAAACGTGCATTTTGCAAACTCACTAGTCTGGGCAAGTAAATTTCAAACTACAGGTTGCTTGCAAAATGTTAGTGTTTGCCAATTCTGGCATGTGACTGATTTCGTTTTCTCTTTTCTCTGCCAAGATGCCAGAAACATACTTTGTGTTACACAGACAAACGAGATCTGGACTTTGCCTTAACATCGTCCAGATAAACAGGTTTATGTTAATCAAGTTTGTGTTATGGTAAAAAAGCTTGAAGAGCAGTTTCCCCTATCTCTGTGAGATGTATTATGCAGGATTATTCAACACGTCTGACTTTCCTAAATACTTAGTTTCCTAATGGCTAGGTTCTCTCTTCTCCAAGAATTTTCAGATTTGATTGATTATAACATAAAGCAGTGTTTGCTATGAAATTACATTTAATTTGCTATATCGTGCTTTTGTCAGGTAAATCTTTGACCTTTTCTGTATTCCCTTAAAAGCTTTTCATTATATTCCTGTAAAGCTCTCAAGTACAAAGCAAGTAGCAGTAACTCCCTAGCAGATCTAACATACAGTTTTCTTCAGATATAGGAATATAGCGGGCAAATTTAGTGATCTCTGCTCTTTTACAGTTGTGGCTTTTAAATTATTTTTAGAATATCAGTGCCATCAGGAGCATAACCATTAAACTTTCCAGTAAAAGAAAGGGGTCAGATTTTTTTTCTCTCACATGTAGCACTGTACATCAGTTCTGATTAGCTGTACTCTCTTATGATTTGTATCCTTAATTATCATTAAGAACTTAAGAGCATACCTTTGTCTCTAACTGCAGATCTTTCCTTAACTCAAGTTCCTTGAATCCATCACTACATCAGTGGCATAATTAATACTTGGTGTGGTGTGGTTGGTTCAGATTGCAGTCCAAGGGACACAAGGTAAAAAGATAACAGCTACATCTTAGTAGTGGCCAACCCCCCATCTGGAGTCCTTGTTTGTGCTGCCTTGCCAGCTATCTTGTTAAGAACTAGCAGCTGGTACCATTCCCTGCTTGAGAAACCCAGACTATGCGGGGGTTAAAACCATATTTTGAGTGGGCTAAATACATCATGTTTGTAGAGTTCTTCATTTTCAGCTCTCTCAAGTCTGGCATCAGCAAATGAAGATGAGAAATGGTATCTATATGTGTTATAAACCTCTCAAGATGTTTTGCTGTGCAGGGTTTCTGTTGCCCCTATTGTAAAAGCGGTGACTTTTCCAGTCAGTGAGATGGTTTCCAAGACAGCATCAGTGATAAGTCATGGATTCCCCTGCTCTGACACTTGGCTCGTGGTAGTAGCCTTTTTTCTTGCAGCTTTTAACCCAGGTATTGCACTGAGGCTTTTTGCAAAACACCTGTCGGGATCTTTACCAATAAACTAATAAGATCGGTTTTGAGTTGTTGAAAAGTCCTATTAAAGGCCGTCTTTGCAACAATGTTAGCCTTCTCTTTGAAAGCTGGAAAACTAAAAAGAGCATGAGGAAATGAGCTATAGAACTATAAGGATTCATGGAGTGGTGCATAATCTAACATAATCTTGGCCGTCCAAAAGTTGAGTTTATCTAAGATAGTCACTTAAGGTCAATCTGCAGTCAGCTAGGAAAGGAGAACCTTTAGCAGGCAATTCTTGGGCAATTTGTCTGAACTGTTAGTTGTATTACCAAAAAAAAAATGATGAAATACTCAATGGCAAAGCCAAATTATTTTGTCTTCAGATTTCTTAATACATTTTCTTTGGAGTCTAACATGCTGCATGTTTTCTTAAAGGACTGTGAGTTCTGCTAATGGAAGTAATGGTTAACTCAAGGAAGGAATGCCTGTCTTTGTATGTGTTGGGTATGAGCATGTGTTGTCTTCGGGACTATGGCTGTAATTACGACCACATGAACTTGAGTCCTAGGAAACTAGAAGCCTTACAGCTCAGCTCATACATCTGGAAACTTTAGGGATTAAATCTTTGCTCCTAGTAGGTGGTGAAAGTTTTGCCAGCACCTTAAACAGGGCCAGAAATCCATCTAAAGGTGTCTGTATGGGTAAGATTGCTTCCCAGATAGGGATTATGTGTCCCCCATTGACTTCTGTGATCAATTTTCGCTGTCTTTTAAATGTGCAGATAAGGCGAACAGTGTGGAATGTAGCTTTTTTTTTTTCAAAGCTAAAAGGGGGGTAAAATTTCAGAGATTAAGATTGAAAAAACACAGTCCTATGGAAATCACGCATCAGGGTTCTAAGATGCTCTTCCTTTCTGAAAAAACTTTGGATGTAAATACATGAATGCATTACTTAGAGCAGGAATGCACTTTTAAAATTAATATCTTGATCACCTGCATTTACTGCACTTCAGTTTACATCTCAGAGCCTATAAACTGATTTTATTTGGGATAAAACTGAGTCAGAAGGACTTGAGGAGCTCGTTTAATGTACTCCAAGTGCTAATGCAAATTCAGTCTACAGGATTTGGAGACAATTGGAAGTAAAAGCCACAAAAAAGTAGTGTGAAAGCTGTGCCCTTAATGCCAAGTATTTCACTCTACTACTCTGCTCCTACTGGTAAGGTTTTACTCTGTTTATTACTGTAAACTTAGGATATAGCCTGTTGACCAGCTTGTCAATCAATTTTATGTAATATAATTCTTAGTATATATGGACAGAAAAAAAATACAAGGGAAAGAATAAACATCATAGCATAATGATAAAAAAGTTAAGACATCAATGCCAGGACCATGTGTCCATTAGGTAACGATAGAAACAAACAGTCTTTTATTTAATAAAAAATACTCTCAAAGGAAGGAGGTTACTGAAGTGTATAGATTTCTTATACATCAGTTCTATAGAGACAGTTTCTGAAAGGGGACAATAAAATTACAGAGCTTTTGGCCCTCATCCATCCCAAAAATCCTTCAATAGATACTTTTTTGACAGGACATGTTTCCTAAAATGTTGACAGTATTTTCTCAGCAGTGATATATTAAGGTCTATCAGTCCCCTGCAGTGAAATGTCTAGAAATATGTGTAAGATTTTCTTGAAGTTTATACCCTTAGATGTGAAAAAGACTTGCAAGTCTAAGCTAGTTGCCACAGTCTTATTAAGGGGGATTCACCTCATTCGAAAATAGATCAGATGAAGGATCCTCTGGATGTGCTGTGTTCCGTCTGTTGACTATAAACAGAGCATCAAGTGACTCTCTCAGATGTCTAACTGGGTGTCTGGAGTTAAGTGAGGCGTGATTCATCTTGCTTTACTGAGGTAACTGAACTAAATGTCTCTACACAATTCTTCGGCTTGAAACAGAGGACAGAACTGACTGGTATGCTTCCTACAAAGGTGTTCTAGTAGTACAAAACTGTCCTAATATTAAAAGAGCAGGCAGTGTGCTCCAGAGCTGAGATGCAAAGTGGAGCTCCTGGTCCAAGGGCAGCAGACCTGGCTGGTGAGCTGGACAATAAGGATGTCTTTTTGCTGAGCTGTGTTTCTTGATTAATTATGCTCTTTCAGGCCAAGTTTTAGTTGGCATTTAAAGACATGAGTATTTATAGAAACTAATTCTCTTTGTGGGCTCTTGGGTTTGCCAGCTGTGAAATGAAATGAAAGAATTATCTTTTAATTTACTCTTGAAAATGAGGGTGGGTATATGATACAGTAATTTTGCTATCTGAATCAGGGGCCTCTTGTGAACAGAAGGTACCATTTGCAGAACTTTATGGTGGTTTTGTGGTTGTGTGGGTGATGGAAATGCATGGGA